ATTTCTACAAGTTCTGGTGAGGAGGCACACATAACCATGGCTTGCGAAAAAATACCTCGCATTCTACAGTGGAAAAATATCGAGTTGGTTTTGTTGTTCTTGATTTGTAGATGGCAGCGGTTTCACGGCTATTGTTATTGCTGTTGTCAGCCTGTCCTATGATTGTTGATTCTAGTCTTCTTGTTGCCATAATACAATTGTCGTTGTTTGTTTGTTTGTTTGTTTGTTTGTTTGTTTGTTTGTTTGTTTGTTTGTTTGTTTGTTTGTTTGTTTGTTTGTTTGTTTGTTTGTTTGTTTGTTTGTTTGTTTGTTTGTTTGTTTGTTTGTTTGTTTGTTTGTTTCATAAACTTACTTTACTGGCTTTAGATTACATAAAGTCATAACCATACGATCCTGACACAAAAAATAAAATTCGAATTTAACGAACAACTTCTACCAGTAATATATGAGAGAAACATTATTCTATAAGAAGAGTACATATCTAACCTGCATTTTTTCAAGCGGAATGTGTTTAACAAGGCCACTGATGACGGTACGTGGCTTCTCTTCCCCAATATCAACTACAAGAAAGGAGTCTTGTTAATCAGGTTGATAACAGTAATCTTCACTAAGGGGGCCCACGTTCAAAGTTTTTAAAATCTTTTGAAGGCTGACAAGTGACAATAACTAACACACAACAACGGTTATCAAACCGTGCAGGATGCGATAATTCCAATGTTATGTATGCTTTGATACACTTCTTTGTTCACAGCCTCATACCTAGAGGAAGTGAAGCGCGCCATAGAAGGGCCTGGAAAGGACTTTGGAAAGTCTACCTCATACCATGTATGGATGCCAAACTTTTGCTATTTGCATACTTGCTGGTACCATATATGACCTTTCCAAGCCCAAGGTATTCAAAACCGTACTTATAAGTGAATATATAACTGTGTAAAACGCGTAGTTTCAGGTTTCTGAATGAACACCTTTTAGATCGAAGCCTGTACTTTATATCTTAATTCATTAAGCTGCATTGCGCCCTAATAGACCCTACTTTAATATTTTATTCTGTCTAATGCCAGACGATTTCACTCGTGACTTAGGTGACTGGCAATCAATGGGTTAAAGACCAAGTTATGCCTGGAGTGACATCTTAAATTTGTACCAGTTCAAGTATAAGGCAAAAAGCATTCGAGTGCCAGTCAGGTACAACTAAAACTCTTATCGTGCCATGTCGTATATACATACTTTCCTCCAAGTAAAGTGTATCAGCGTCAGGATGCTTTTCTACTTTGACAATTTTTCCAACTCTCAAATCTAGCCGTGAAGCATCAACCTCTCCACCTGCTGCACCCTCTGAAATTAACAAGATTGCTCAATTATGTGTTGTTTAAATATTACATTTGGTGAGATTTGCAAGATAGTCTAAACACAAGGCAAAGTAGCTAAAATGATGCAATTTATATTGGCAATAGTCTAATGAACATGTGGTGCCTGATATTATTCTGATAATTCATTGCCATATTATATATATGCTGATATTCAATAGTTCATAAAATAGCTATGAGGATATGTTTTTCTAAAAGGGAACCATGCATACCTAAACTCTCTGGCATTAATTATTGTATTAAAACCTGTTTGCTATTTGTGCTGCAAAATTGATGCATGTAAATGAGTAGATCAGTTATAAATGTTCTGAGTGAGCGAGTATGTACCCTCATCTGAACATTGATAATTCATCTGCTTTGTTCACTTCCATCAGGGGCCGTTTCTTCCAAGCCAATACGCTTAATCTTGGGTTACGGTAACCTAAAATTCAAAACAAACTTCCTGACGGTTTGTCTATAAATTTGGAAATTTTTTTTTCAGAAATCTTGCCTGGATCGATAGGAGTATACTTCTCTGAAGTTTTGAAATAAACAGATGTGCAGAAATACACAAACCAAAACAGCAGGTTAGATTTTAACCAAAGGTTAGTGCTAACCCATCTTTCAACAACCGGCCGGCCCCAGAAGAAAATCGTATCTAAAATTGCAGCAAAAATTGCAAGTGCAAACATGCTTAAAAAAAAACAGCCATGTGTACTACCGGCAGATGCCTTAGGTTTTGAAGAGGCCTTTTCTTTCTTTGCTGTTTTCTTCGCCGAGCCTGGCTGCTTTTCCTTTTTCTCTGCTGTGTGTTCCTCACTTGGTTGAGGTAGAACAGGAACTTCATTGCTGGGTTTAACTGTTTCTTGTTTGACATGGGGTAAGGGGACAACTCTCACTATAAAAGAAATATATTGACTTGTTACAGGTGTGTATATAGTTATACCACTGGGTATCAGAACTTTTTGGAATTCGGTCAGACAACATTATTTTTTAACTGAAGAAATAGGTGTTGCCCCACCTATCCCCTACCTTTGAGTTTTAACTAAGTCAGAAAATGAACAAATATGTGGGAAGGGGCAGCGTTCCATGCCCTACACCAACCCCCGGTCGATTTGTTCCATAACTTACATCCATTTCGTAGTTCCACCTTTTCTAAATCTTTTTTCAAACGTTTAGCTTTTTGTCTTAACTGTTCATTTTCTTGTCGTAATTCTTCTTTTTCCTTCTATTGAATAAATTGTACCAAACTATCAATAGTGATTGGGTCGTTCCAGAAAAGATCCATACTCCCCCCATGGAGGAAATTTCTGCTGTCCGGAGGGGGAGGGGAGAAAAAATTAGTTCTGATAATAGTAAATGTATTAGGACATCCGAAGGGGGTAGGGGGATTAACTTCCTATTTCCTCCGTGGGGGTGGTATGGATGTTTTCTGGAATGACCCAGTGTATCAAACTCACTGACAAAGATTGAGATCAGAGGTACCTATGTCATTATGGTTTAATTTAAAACATGTTACCTCAAAAAATGATTGAATTCGATCACCACCTAAAAGATAATATACTACTATATTAATTTATTATTGCTCCATCTTACACTAGTCTGCATGGCAGGTGGTCAATGGAAAATACCATCTGTCAAAAAGACCAAGTATTTTGAGTTCCACCCACAGAATGTGCTATTTTAAGAGTTCCAAGTGATGTCAACAGATTAGAATATCATGAGCATATTCCAAGATGGCCGCCATATGTTTGTCTTACAACTTCAGGGCCATAGCTACGCCTACACGCGATACGTTCACATGCCGTAAAAACAATCGCCTTCAAAAGAAATCTGTCGGGTAGAACACAAATATATTAATATGCACCAGTGGCGGTCTAGCTACGGCCCTGTACAAACCAATATATACACCCTTCCGGAAAGTACTTAGCTGTGGCTATAGACTATATTTAAAATAGTAACAGAGCCTCGTTTCCATGATTGAGATATTGATTTTAGAGCCTTCAATTCTTGTCACCCATGATGTAGGCACGTAGCCATAAACAGGACTTTTATTTTCACATGCTCATTTATATAACTGTATGGTTTCATAAATATGTCACCTGTAGGCTATAACAAGATAAACGGCTTTTTACCCAATATCTTAATCGCGAAAACGAGGCTCTATAGCCAACAGTAGCCACGTTATTTTTAACTATACTTACTCGCTTCCTTTTCCAAAAGAGAAAGTTGTCTTTTTAATAAAGCAATTGTCTCATCAGCTTGCTTCGCATTTAATCTCAGTGCGTTTAAAATTCTGTCAGGAATAGGCATTTTGAAATGTGATAAAATAATAGAAAACTTTGTCTTGAAACTTTGTGTGATTGTCGAATGTACTATCCAGATATATTTTTGAGATCAGTCACAGATCTTAACTCCCTGCGAGCATCGAGCACACTGAGCTATAATATAACTGAGGAAGTGCTCGGCATCAAGAGCATAGAGATTATAAATATAATCTCTATGATCAAGAGGCAGTGAACTCTAATAATAACTGGAAGGCTAAGTCAGGGGGGGAAGTTGAAGCCGTGCTTGAAGCTTTTTTTGTAGGTAGACCCAGTCCTTTTTAAATTTTTTTTTCAAAATATGCACATTTTTTGATCAGAAAAATCTTGCCCCAAAATATTAGTTATACTACCAAATTTAATTTATATCAGTAGTATGATAAATGAATTTAATATTCGCAAAGCAAACAAATCACGAATTAGCAAAAAAAATGCGAAAAACACGACCGTAAGCATGAACGGTCTGAAAAACCGCGCGTTTTAGGCTGCTTTTTCTGAGTTTTTGGAAGTTTAAGATAAAACTAAGACGTCATACCTCAGGAATTTTTTATACCCATGCAAAATACATCTGTATGCGAAGTTTCAAGAAGATTTAACGTTTTAAGGTCGAAAAAAAAGCATTTGAAAATTGACAAAAATATTGCCATATTCAAAGTGCTCATAGTGGCCAACAAGATGCCGATGACGAAAATAACATCACTTGAAAAACGCCAATTTATTTATGTTTAAGAGCGACTAAAACAAGGACTAAAAGCTCAGGATCAATAACAATACCTGGGGTTTAGTACAACATAAGTTTTGGGACTGTCAAAATGTTTTATAGTATATATTTTTGGTTTGAACGGCGAGATTTCCTTCGGCACGTCCAAACTTTCGTCATTTTTTCAAAATACAAAAGCAAAATTCCTTACTTTTTGCTGCAGAGAGATGTAAAACAGTCGGAACTAATCGGAAACTTGGTTTAAATCCCAATCATTGTTGTATTCCCATGGAAAAAGTGTTTTTCTTGCAAATTTTTGCTCGAAAACAAACTTTTGACAGAATTTTTTTCACTCCTCGAAACTCTCCTTAGTCCTTTTGAAAGCTGATTTTCCCGCGCGCCGGCTTCAACGAATCATAGACTTTCATCATAGGAGTTAGCCTTCCAGTTATTATTAGAGTTCACTGTCAAGAGGTGAAGCCAAAAACATGGCGGATTTTCACGTTTGCTGACGCCAGAATGACGCCACTGGTCCCAAATCCTCGTGGTAATTACCACTGAGCAAGGCTCATTTTGAGCCCGCTACCACTTTCTCATCCCCCTGATTTTCGCAAAAATATTTTAGCTTTTTGTTTTGGAGTTTGCCTCGGTGTTTGCCTTCTCTTCGACATTTTAACATTTGTTTCGAGTTGCACAAGTGGTAAGAATCATCCTGGCTAGTGAAAGACAGAGAACGAATCTTCAAACCTCAAGAAATTTTGGAAAGACGTTATTTTGTAAAGGTAAAAAATACTGTTTATATGTTCAATATTAATTTGTGATAGAGTAGGTCAAAACAAAGCGAAATAAACAGCCCATTTGTACTGTGTAGTGGACAATTTTAGCAACTGATGTATACAATTAGGTTGACTAAACTATACCTCGAAAGAAAATGGTTGAATTTTCTGATTTTAGTTTCATTTGTTATTTCAAATTTTACGATATAAAATGCCAGTTGACCATCGTCTGCTTCATGATCATACTTATTAAAATTAAAGTGGTTTCTATTGTATTAGTATACCTATAGAGGAAGACCTTTTTAAGCCAGAACTATCATGGTCACTGATGGCAGTGAAATTTTAATGTGTAGAATTATCAACTGCCTATCAAGATCCAAAAACTGGTAGTTCAATTCTACCAACTTCTGTTGAAGACTTGATTCACTTGAAGCTAATTTCATATAGTGTGCCCTACTTGTATTTTACTTGTCAACCGCAGGGGGGCAACTGCCCCCCAACATTTTGGAAAACCATGGAAATTCGGGCAAATGCTAGGTGAAATCAAGAAAATTCGGGCAGATTTATCAGAAAGTAGGTTAAATTCAGGGAATTTCATTACAACCTCCATACAAATTCGGACAGACTTTCAACTGCCCCCTGGAAAGCATCAGCCCTGTACGCCTATGTTTTTTTACTCGTCAATGGGGAAGCTCTGCAGCTTAATGGGTTAAGAAAATGAAACATTCCTGTTGATATTTGATGTTGCTAATTGATCATGCATTTTTGGAGGAAAATATTTTACACAGTGGTTGTTCACCTGACACTGAACCCCAATATTTACATACTATTTGTCTGAACTATTTTCCTCATTCTTTCAACATGCTAAAATGATACAAAATAAATTTCAGTTGAATTCAAGCAAGTCCTTGACATCCCGTTGTCAACACTATCACCTTGTTAGTAGCATATATCTGCTTTTAAAAGCACCGGGTTCTTGAAAATGAGTGGAATTTCAAGAGCATTGACTGACTGGCTTTGTGCAAACAGGTGGCCTTACCAGTTAGGATGAGGGCCAGTTAAGGTTAGGGTCGGGTGCAGGCAAGGTTCATGTAAATTGCTTATTGTTAGCAAGAATGTTATGTGTACACAATCATGTGTAATATTGTGTTGGGTTAATAGCAGTTAAAACATTGGGACACAGTGTCGGACACTAACCACAACAATTGTTATATAAGGTATCTGGTTGTTTTAGTGTAATTTTATTTCTCACATATTTTTTCAGAAATAAAGCACCATTGAGCAACGTGTTGGGAAAGAGAAGTCACAAACTGTTGATGAATATATTTAATTAACTACATCCACATAAAATACAATTTTATTAACAGTATTTTGATTTATGGTCATAGTTCTTAGATTACATTATTTTCATATTAAAAATAAAATTAACAAATTACAATATCAGTGTGAAAATATTGCAATAATCAATTAAAATGTCAAACCAGCTAACAAGTTTCAATTATTTAATTGTGAGTGTAACCTAACCCCCCCACCCCCTGAGCTAGGGAACAAGAGAGTTGCTGTGGGCCCTATAATAATAATACCCCACCATATAATTTTCCTGTCAAATACCAGACAAATATACTTGTAAATGCATGGGGAGAGCTTTATCACTCCATGGGTTGACCAGTATTTGTTAAGCCTTTGATAAGTGGCAATGTGCCCCAGTGCACCCCAGTGGCGTAACGTTATATCAGGGGGCCCCCGGTTCAAAATTTTCGAAGGCCCCCCAAGTAGAAGTGCTAAAGTCACGAGTCGAGCGCCGTATATGCACAGGTTTTCTAGGGGGTCCAGGGCATGCTCATCCGGAAAATTTTTGAATCTAGATTCTCTGAAATGCCATTTCCTGGACTTTGGGGAGAGATTTTACAGAATTCTGTTGGTCAGAAAACGACATTGTAACATATCAGAGAGGCCCTGGCTAATGTTTTTGCTCTATCGCCTAAGCTTGGGGGCCCCCATTTTGGCCCATTGGGGTTGGGGCCCCCGGGTTCTCCCGGTCTGAGCCCATAGTAGTTACGCCACTGAAGTACACCCTACTTTATTATTATATTCTGTCTAATGGCAGACAATTTTATTTGTGAAGGAGAGAGTGCTGGTGCTCAATGAGTTAAGTGGAATATACTAATTGCTTCGAACAAAGGTGTCATTCCCTTTTGTGCATGGCATGACATTTAACCAGGGCATTCTTCTCCAAGTTTTCTACACATCTCAGGATTTTTCTTCATATCTGGAAAAGTGTAATAGAATACATCCAATCAGTCATGTACTATATTATCTATATCATTTGGTCAACATGCTATTGAACATATTATTTCCTTTCAATTTTCAAATATTAAAATATGTCATTTAGAGTTGTGAAATAGGCATCCCTTATTCACCCATTGACTTCTATGATCTCTATGTACTATCCATAAATTCATTTTCGTCAAGAAGAATTCATGTCTATTTGCTGGCCTTTTTATATATGAACTATAAACTTTACTTGTACAACTAGGTATTGGGCCTCCTACTGTTAGCCACTTAGCCATGAAAAAAATTAAAATTGTCTATTAAAATCACAACTCAAATTTGTAGTGTGAGCCTTGCAAGCTTTTATTCAACACTTAATTCTACAGAAACACTTATTAGGAACAGTTTTGATCTGTTTTGTGCCCATTACAACCATATATTGGGCCTCCTAGTCCTATGACAATATATTTAAAGTTTTAAACCCTAGGAAAAGTTGGGACTTGACAGGCCATTTGTCCATCATTTTGAGGCATTTCTGTTGCTATACTGTATGTGAAATTGATGTTGGATCTCTGGGTAAGGACTCCAGAGGAAAACAAAAACTATAACCTACCCAAATGGCAAAATAAAACATAAAGAAAAGTGAGTAAAGGCAGAAGAATACCAGCTGATGTACAGCGTCGTTATATTTGTAAATTTCGTATCCAATTTTTCTTGAAAAAAATGGTATTTATTTAGTACGAATGAAGCATTGAATACATCTTACCGGTAAAAAGAAGTGTTTCTTCTTGATAAAGAATTGTGGCATCATGAAGCCATGCAAAAACTCTGCATTTATTCTTAATGTGTTTTTTTTTATATAAACTTTCAGCAAAGTTTCAGGCTTTTTTGAAAAACCAGGGGGGTGAAATTGTCGTCTGAAGCTGAGGATCGCGGTTGGCCAGTGGTAATTACCACGAGGATTTGGGACCAGTGGCGTCATTCTGGCGTCAGCAAACGTGAAAATCCGCCATGTTTTTGGCTTCACTTGCTTGACTGAAGAGAGATAGGAGCACTTCCTCCAGATATATTATAGCTCAGTGATCGAGCCAGTGGATCGAGCATACTTCGCACCTTTGGTGAAACTTCATGTAAGAACATTCTAAAGTTTGGATTTTTTACAGCCAGGAAAGCAGAAAAACAAAGACATTCTTGGTATGTTTTCTAGTAAATTCTTTGATATTTTGATATTAGGATAATTGAGGAAGAAGGTTAGTTACTACAGTTAGTTGATACGGTGTTTTTAAGATGCGGTATCAGTTAAATATTAGAAAATCGAACAGGGGCCGGTTGTATAAAAAAGTGATTAAAGTTAACTATAGTTAGTGGAAACGTCATCCAATAAGAAGCGCGTATTTGAGAGTTAATCACTATTTAACTACCAAATAGTGATTAAAAAGTGATTAAGAGTTTTATACAACCGGCCCCAGGATGTTGGAATTTCCAACATGTATATTTTAATATACATGTTGGAAATTCCAACATCCTGGGGCCGGTTGTATAAAACTCTTAATGCGTGGTGGCATTGTTGACTCTCTCAAAGTTTCGGCGCTTTCTCAATAAATGCACAACCTTATTCTATTAAACCCTAATCCTGTATATTAGTTTGTTTGTAATAGATTTTGGTCGCTCATATTTTGAGAAAGTGCCAAAGTTTCCTCAATCGAGTTGTGCTTTGTTTGGAATGTGTGGCCTCATTGTCTTCAAAAACTGCTGGAAAGTGTAATGCGTAGTTTTGCAATGGTCTGCATCATCAATGCGTGCTTTACATTTTCCCGGTTTGAAAACCTTTTCAGGATTGGTTTGACTACCCCCACAGGCGTTCATTGCTGGTGACGGTTTGGGGTGAATGTTAGGGTGTTTAATATTAATATCAAGATTAGCAAACTTATGCAATCTACGTTTTTGACAACACGGATACCAAGTTTAATGACATCATCTGAAAAATGTGTCATATTTCGTGTCAAAACGTTCAGGAATACGACTACATTTCTACACATATATTGTAGAAAATGTGAAACTATTTTTAGCAAAATGTCAATATAATTTTCGTGGGCCAATCAGACGTAACCACGCCTACAATGTTGATTTCATGATGTTAGGAATTTGGTCGTATTCCTCAATGTTTCGTCATGAGAGCATCACACTTTTTTTTGAAAGAAAGGAAGGGTTCATGGTTTTGGTGATATAATTACTGATATGATTTACTGATGATGGTGATTTACTGTCGTTCCAATTGAAGTGTTGCTCAAATATTGATTCAATACATTACCTCGGGCTGACCAATTCATTTGATCAAGTTCCTCGAAATATTCATACACTTCCTAGTATAATTGTAAACTTCCTGTTGAATAGTTTGAATGCGCCAATCACCTTTGTTGTTTGTGCAACTAACCAATCATAAATAGAGAGGAAGTGACCAGAAATGATCAAATACTTGGAATTGGCTCTTTCACAGGAAGTGTATGAATATCTCGAGGAACTTGATGAAATGAATTGGTCAGCCCGAGGTAATGTATTGAATCAATATTTGAGGAACACTTCAATTGGAACGACAGTAACAACCATTGGCAATCAAACCCCCAAAACTCCAATTTTTTGTCCACTTTTAAAGCAAGTTTTCCGGAATGTGGTGGAACATAATTTTATAATTTTTGGCAAGAATTTCAAAATTCACGACCTGACTACTACTACTTAAACAGAAGTAAAAATACAAAATACCATAAACCTCCGACTATAAGCCCTAGGCTTGTATTCTTTCGTAAACGATTTTTGATGGGCTTATACAAGGGGGAGTTTATATATAGGGGGGGCTTATTCATGGACGATCTTTCTGTTAGTAATAAACGGGTCAGTCATAAACAGGAAAATAAACATGTATTAATAACGCGCTTCGATTAATTAACATAGTAAGCTATAAAGACAATGACAGTGTTTTTAAATATTGTTCTCTGTTATATTAAAAGACAATGTCAATGTTAAATAACATAGTGGGCTACTGGGCTTGTATTTGTGGACTTATATTCGGGCGGGGCGCAGACAAAAAACAATAAAAGTGACTGAAACTGACATCCAATTGGCAATGGCTCCATCTTTACCTTTACTTTTTGCCTTGAGTTTCTCGCTCCAGATATATATCGAGCTCAAGACAAAGAAGTATGTTTACCCTTCCTTTACAGCGACCCTAGTGATAAGGTCATCCCACTTCCATGGAAACAGGACCTTAAGTGGCTTCCTTGTGATAAACTGTGCTTGTTGCTAATGAACTTAAATATGGGGGTCTATATTGGCATGTGTTAAAACCTGGATGGTGGACAATGTAGTTCAAGTTTCATAAATAATTATTATGCATACAGCTTGGCCAAAATATGTTGATATTTTTTTTATTTATTAACTTTGCCATCATCATATGTATACAGTAACTGGCTTAGAAACCACAACAGCTACCGTATTGTCAATCCAGACTGCAGAGTTGAGCACTTTTCAACGAGATCTCGGGTGCGCAAATGTTAGAAAATCAAAGTGCAGGTGCGCAAAACAATTCCCAAGAGCGCATCAAGATGCAGTCAAGGGCACAAAAGTAGCGAGATACATGTTAAAACAATGAAATTTAGAAATTTGAGGGCAGATTAAATTGCAAAAGTTGTTATAAAGCACATCCCAGATGCGGTGAAATTTATGCCCAAAAAAATATCTAGTGTGACGTTGACCAGTCTGCAGTCTGGTTGTCAATTACTGTGGCCCCAATAGTACATGAACAATTTACAAATTATAGTTGTTACACACACACAATAAACAATTCTTGGACAGTAGCACAGAATGACAATAGTCATTACAAAAAGTCTGGAGTATTAATCCGTTGTAAAACTACATATTAATCAATGATTAATAGTAAATTGTTAATGGTTTATAATAAAATAATAGTAACTTAAAAATCTTCCACTGTCCATCGTCCAGGTTTTAGCACGTGCCTTTTATATCTATATATCCGTTTATAGATCAGGTGTTCTAAAAAATTCACACCTAGTTTACTCTGTCATTTAATAGGATGTTTGAGAACCCTTACTGTGTTTATCTGGTGTAACTGATAACTCAATAAGCCGGGTCATCAAACAATTTTCCCACAGGCTTCCACATGCAGCTCATGCAAATGAGCATGGTTTTATCAATGTTGGAAAATTTTAAGATGCCAGCCATTATTTTTCTCGCACTTGCGTAGACGAAATGAAAGAAAATTTGGCGACGCATTTCTGTTATTCGATGTGAATAATTGCACAAAACGTTCGTTTCAATTTTATTTTACAAAAACCTCTGGTTCATTAGTCGTTTAATCAAAGTCTATAGTAACTGATAATTTAATAAGATGGGTTATCAAACAATTATCACGTGGGTTTCCGCGGCTTATGCAAATGAGCATATTTTATCAATGTTGGAAGATTTTAAGACGCTAGCCTTCGCTAGCCATTATTTTTCTCGCACTTGCGCAGACGAAATAAAAGAAAATTTGGCGACGCATGTCTGACCATTTCTGTAATTCGAATTCGATGTGTATAATTTGAATTTGAATTTTGAATTTATTAATTGACGTTCCCTAAAATGGGCTTTTCAATGACAATTTACATGGATTTTAGAAGAAATTATGAGTTATCGACTATATATATTTACAACAATCTTATCAAAGTTATTACGCGAACTAAAATTATACCAGATATTATGCTTTATGAGTTAAAAAAGTTAAAAAGAAGGACACGCTTCTCAATAAGAATTGTCTTAAGTTTCGTCTTAAAATTGTTCAAATCACTAATTGATTTCAGCTCTGTATCTATACCATTCCATATCTTAGTCCCTCGGTATTTGAACGATCTTTGACCCAACGATGTCTTATATTTTGGAATATCCAGGTCTCCATTTCTTCTAGTATCTCGGTTATGAATTCTGGTTATGAATTCTCCATTTCTTCTAGTATCTCGGTTATGAATTCTGAATTGCACAAACGGTTCGTTTCGATTTTATTTTTCAAAAATCTCTGGTTCATTAGTCGTTTAGTCAAAGTCTGTAGGTATTGATAATTCAATAAGATGGGTTATCAAACAATTATCACATGGGTTTCCGCCGCTCATGCAAATGAGAATGATTTTATCAATGTTAGAAGATTTTAGGACGCTATAATCATTGTTTTTCTCGCCGAGTTTCGTAGACGAAATAAAAGAAAATTTGGCGATGCATTTCTGTAATTCGATGTGTATAATTGCATAAAACGTTTGTTCCAATTTTATTTTATAAAAACCTCGATTAGTCGTTTGGTCAAAGTCTATGGTAACTGATGATTCCATAAGATGGGTATATCAAGCAATTATCACATGGGTTTCCGTGGCTTATGCAAATGAGCATGATTTTATCAATGTTGGAAGATTTTAAGACGCCAGCCATTATTTTTCTCGCACTTGCGTAGACGAAATGAAAATTTGGCGACCCATTTCTGTAATTCGATGTGTATAATTGCACAACATGTTCGTTTCAATTTTATTTTACAAAAACCTCTGGTTCATTAGTCGTTTAATTAATCAAAGTCTATAGTATAACTGATAATTCAATAAGAAGGGTATCAAACAATTACCACATGGGTTTCCGCGGCTTATGCAAATGAACATGCTTTTGTTGGATAATTTATCAATGTTGGAAGATTTTAAGACGCTAGCCTTCGCTAGCCATTATTTTTCTCGCACTTGCGTAGACGAAATAAAACGTTCGTTTCAATTTTATTTTTAAAAAAAACCTCTCGTTCATTAGTTGTTTTACTTGTTTAGTCAAAGTCTATAGTATAACTGATATAAATTCAATAAGAAGGGTTATCAAACAATTATCACGTGGGTTTCCGCGGCTCATGCAAATGAGCATGATTTTGTTGGAGGATTTCATGGAATTCGAACCTGCGCCAGCCTGTATAGTTGCATGTTTACCAGCTGTTC